ATACGAAGAAATAGCGGGTTTCGATGTCTATTTTTTTTAGATACAATTGTTGTAAATTCTTGCATTTCGTGTGAAAGTACACGATGGCCTTATTACAACATTCGGATTGACGTCTCATTCGTTTGCAATGAAAACGGGCTCAAGTTTCATTCGTTTTGCGACAAGCATCATCAGAGCTGGAACTCATTCTTTCTAAGGTCTCAAGTTAACAATGCTTCTCGCCGCTCCCATTCCCTGCCTACCTGTTGCCCTGTTGGCCGAAGACGAGTCGTGCTGGCCGATCTGTTGCTGCTCTTCAAGCTGTACCGCTCGTGGCAGGGCATGCCGACTGTCCTGGTTCGAGTGCAGCGAGCTGAAGTAGCGCAGCACGGAGGCCCCTTCTGCGCCGCCCTCTTTGTGCGACACTGTCACGGTCTGCAGCGACGACTTGATCGGTTGGCCTGACGGCCCTGAGGAAGACTTCTGCCCAGTCGTCGCCGTCACAGTCGACGCCGACGTTGCCGGAGTCGGTGGCCCTTTCGAGTTCACCGGCACGGGGTTGACGTCCGAATCTTCGATGAGGTAGTGGATTCGGGGTTGGCTGCCCGAGCTGATGGTCTGCATGACCCTCGGGTAGATCACAGTGTCGCGCAATGGCGCCACCATCGCCGTCGGCTGGGTCGTGGCGGCGGTACCGCCACGCGAGGTGTTTGGGACCCACCTCATCACCAGTTGCCAGGGCGGAGGTGCATTTGAGCTGTTTCAGGCCTTGCTGACCGTCGGACCGGGACTGGGCAGACGAGGCGACCGACGGCCGATTAAACGGAAGTGACGGGTTCAGGTGGGCATCTGCCCGACGGGGAAGATACAGAGCCGTGTGCGTGCAGCCGAGCCAGTCAGGCCGATGTATGCATGAGCTGGGTTTCCGACTTGTAATTGTCACGGCCTGGAAACTAGCTCTGTACGAAGACGTGTCTCGGCCCGGTTGTCAATCTTTCGCCAACCAGGCGTTCAACGCCAGATGGAGCCTCAAAAGTCGACAAGACACGAAAGACACGCTATGCGAAGTAGCTCTCTTTGAAATGACACCACCAAGATCAATACTTTCCGTGCCTCATGCTGGCAGACTCGCTGCTGCCCCCTTTTCAGCAAGTCTCAGTTGGTCCTCTGAAACGGTACAAGTGACTGTTCTGCTTGACAGAATTTTAACATAAACCACCACATTCGTGTGTCTTCTGATGAACAAGAGTCCGCCATAGCGACCAAGGCTGAAGCATGCTGAAGTGGATGTGGCACTCATCTACGGTAGGCAGTCGTCTTGGCGAGGTGAGTGAAATTTGTGTGCGTCATGCTCTTGAATGTGGAAGGAAGAATATTAGGCGATGGATTGGGGAGAGGGAGAAGGAGAATAAGTGAAGGCGAAGGAGTAAGGAAGGGAGAAGAAAGTGAAGGATAAGGAAGGAGGATCGCAAACAGGAAAAAAAGGGATAGAGGTGAAGGAAATGTAGAAGAGATAAAATGGGGGGAGGAGGAGGATGAACGGAGGAAGCAGAAAAAAGTGAAGAAGAAGAGGCAGAAAGAGAAAGAGAAGAGAAGGCGAAGTATGAGGAGGAGGAAGAGAATGAGTAAATGAAGGAGAAGAAGAGAAGGAGAAAGAACGAGGAAGAGGGCATGAAGTCTTCTTATCGGCCGCCCGAAGATTTATAAAAACATGTGGTGACATTTATTTAGATCTTGTCGTGAACACAGCACCCTATGTAAGTGTAGTAGGACAGGCCTCGCACTCGAATGATCATTAATAAGATATGGTTGTACACGTTTCAAGAAAAGAAGAAGCATTCTTCTCAATTTATATGAGATGTATTTACCCGATTTCGTTGAAATGGTAAAGGACTGGTAGTTGAATTTACCCACAATGACATAAGTGGACCTTACATTTCCAGTGAACTTCACATAGCCTTGAAGATGTGAAGACCAAGATGTTGTGGCCTCGAGTATGGTCGCAGTCTCCTTTCGACTTATAAAAGTGGGTTGACCTCGTTGCCGCAACTTGGTCTTGTGTTCAGGGAGACTATGTAGAACGCACCGAGTCCG